AATTATTTTATTTTGTTTAGAAAATAATTACAATTTTAGAACGTTTATTTTTCTGTGAGCTTCCAGCTGATAGTAAAACTTCATGTAATCAAATAAAATTAGATCAGCGAGGAAGTCAGAGAAGGTTTTTGATCAGGCTGTACCAATTTTTTTTATTATTATTATTAATCCGACAGTGCATTTCCATGATTAGCAGTAAGAATGTGTGTTTTTCTTTTCTTTTTTTTTAATGACAGGACTCTGATACTCCCTGCAAACTGGACCCTGGGTTCAGACAGAGTAATAAAGGCAGTTCTGCCTCAGCAGAGCTGATGCAAACAGTCATTCCAGAGCCCTCTGCTGCAGGGCGCTGCGGTGGCGAGAGAATGCTGCATGCACAAAGATGTTTTCAAGTGCTGCTGAATGTTAGCAGCTTTACATATGCTTTCCACACAATGCTGTTGTGAATAAGACAGCTGTGAGAGGATCTAGTTGCAGGAAAGAGTTCAGCTGGCAGAAAAAAGAGGTGACACCACAGTGACACCTAGTGGTTTTGTGCTGACACTGAGTGAGGTTTTCTTGTGCTCACACGTTTTACTTTCTTGTCAGATTTGGTGATATTAAAGAAATAATAATCTAATTCAATATATCAATAGTCTACTTTCTGTCTTTCTGCACACTTAACTATTTTAACTTCCCATCTTTGTGTTTTGTCTGCTGTAAAAAGTAGAACCAGAGATTATTTCGTTTGTCGGAGAAACAGAAGGCATGACGTGAAGAACAAGGCCAACGGGCACTGGAAAGGGTCTGATACACAGAAAACACAGAAGAACAACTGAGGTTTAGTTGGCCTTGACAGACAAAAGGTGTAATGGAATGAGCGTTGAGGGTGGATCAGGAATGTGGGAGGTTCAGCCAGACTACATGAGCTGAGAAGGTCCTTGAACGCCGAGGATCGTCACAAGCCAAGGTTGTGTTAAATGTTTAATCGGTTCCCACTGAAATAATTCTGCACACAGTAACAGAGCCTCATAAACAGCACTCGCTTGTCTAATTTCTTCCTAATTCCCCGGTTGTTTACTTCATTCTTCTGCTGTTCTCTGATAAGGGAGGAGACTGGATCCGGGAAGCCTGTGTCTGGTGTGCAGGTTGGGCTGGGCTTCTCTTTTTGAAGTGCTGGTATCTGCTCACTACAGCTGCGCAGAGCAGATTTGGAGCTCCTTCTCATATTCCCACCTCAACTAAAATGTGTAACCTCACATTCACAGCTGAATACAGACTGGCTGCTGCACAATGATGCTGTTCCACACGTGAAAGCCATTGTCTGGCCTGTCTTGTACCAGCTCTGACCCAGCTAACAGCCCGTCATTAGCCCATCTAAGCAGCACAAAACCATTTTGTGACTAGCCCAGCCTTACTCGTTAGAAATCTGAACAACGTTCTGCACAATAAAAAATAGGCTGAGGGGGTCAGTGTCTCTATGCTGTGGCCTTATCTGATTTTAGGAATGGAAATGATGTTCTCAGAGCATTTGCCTTTGCTTGCCTTGGTCAATATGAAGCTAATGTAGGTCATTAACCCTCTGATAGACCCTGAGCTAAAAGCACCATTTCCTCTGCATGTGATGAATGATCTTTTAGACAATAGCGTAGCGGCTCTGGGTGCAGACTACGCTCTAAATGTCTTCATCCTCATCCATAATGGAAAATGTGGTCATCATTTAACCCTTCGTGCAATAACAGGTTTTCCAGGACACTGGAGGTTACTGGATTTTACCACCTAAAGTTCCCCTTAACGAGATCTTTATTAGAGGCTGGTCATGTCTTTAGGATTTCTAATTGTGTGTGTGTGTGTGTGTGTGTGTGTGTGTGCGTGCGTGCGTGCGTGCGTGCGTGCGTGCGTGTGTGTGTGTGTGTGTGTGTGTGTGTGTTGCTGCATGTTGACACCATTGTATCATTTCGTCTCTGACATAAATTCAATCCCAGTGACCGACCCGCCAGAAGGTGAATGATGCATCACGCATCAGGCACACCTACTGCTCTCTCAATCTTCACGCCCTTTTCAGGGCTCCAGACAGGATGTTGTGTGTCTTTCATTTTTAACAAGCTGTGTAGAGTTGATGAAGCTACCTTTATGTTGTTACGTAAAGACACATTCTTTGACATAGAACACTGACTGTAAAAACTTTCTGGTTGATGATACCAGCTGACATCACAGGTGGCAGCAACATTAGCGTTTTCATGTTTCTTTAAACTATTCTGCAGCATGCCGGCTCTGGTAAATGTCAGCTGCTGTGTTGGTCATTAACTTTGGTTTGTGTTGCATTTTGGTAAAGGTCGCATTGAGCCAGCGGGCAATAGCAGTCACTGACACTTGGGGTGTTGTGTCTGACAGCAGACTGGAGACCAGTCTGCAGCGGGAAAAGGCTCAGAGGGTGGAATGAATAATTCTGTTTACCCCAGAGGCTTTGTCGTAGCTGCGTTGCATGTTAAATAAATATCAGAACATTCAAGAAGAAACAAAAAACTTCTAATTTATTTCTCTTTGAAACACAACTTGATTTGTTATTGAATATTAAATAAAAATAAAGATTTTCTGCAGATTATGGTCAATTATCTTGTTAGAAATCACACTTTATGACATCATACAAGTTATATTATTATATTATCTTGTAGATCTTAAAATTATTTTAAAAGTGTGTTTATGCATATAAATTCTAAGCATTTGCACACTGTTGATATACTGCAAAGTCGCAAGATTTGCATTAAAGGCCTGGATGAGCCGGTTTGGTGTGGAGGACCTTGGCCGGCCAGCCCAGAATTCTGAATCCTGATAAATTAGACTGAGGATCATGTGCCATGTTGTCTTCCCAGAAGAGTTAGAATTGCAAAAAGTGTGATAACTCTATTGAACCCTGTATGGATAAAGAGCAGGATATCATTAAAGGCAGACATTTTAACACTTTTGCTAACATTGCACAGGAGCATATGTTGCACAACAGCATATGTTGGAGGAAATAGCTTTTTCCAAAGAGCTAACAGCAAGTCTAAGAATAGCCCAGATGTATTGCTGCCATTTCAAATGCAGAGTTGTGCATTAACCTTTACTCTGATATAGATATTAGTCCTGCTGACATGCAGCAGAAGTGCTACCCTACTAGCCTGGCAAGACATCCTATCTATCTGAATATATAGTTTGGCCACAGCCCATTGACTGTTCTCAGTCGTGAGGCAGGATCTACGGTTGTCTTTTAAATTGTTTCCGTGTGCTTTTGGACGACAAACAACGTGGCGTACTCACCGCTGCAGATGTCAGTCAATGGCAAGCCCCCACAATGCGGCTCTAAAATTGAGGCAAACCCGGAACTGAAATAAATTGCAGTTCCACCCTCATCCGCTGGGGGCTGGTATCAGAAGCGCGCAAATCCTCATTGACTCCCATGTTAAAAATACCAATTTCACAGCAGAAATAAACATGTTTACAGCCTGGTTCCAAAGCATGTTTTTGGTTAGAATTATCTAGTTTACACTCATGACAACTCTGAGGGGGTGAATTTATTTCTCACTCTTCTGTTTAAGTGTATTAAAAGCCTAAAATTCTGTATAATTAATGAGCATCCGACCCACGTGACCACAGAACTAGCTCCGTGGAAAGGCCTCAGAAGAGCCTCGGTCTGGCTTGGAAACTGTTCCGGGATTTTGAGTCTCTGTGTTTGTGTATTCTGTTTTGGATATTTTTTGTGCAATTGTTGGACAAAATGACTTGATGTGGCATTAATTGCACTAATAGAGCGTCCAAGGAGTCTCCACTTCATTTTTTTCGGTAAGTAAAATTATATTTATGTATTTTAGGTCACTGCTGAGCTGAGCTTAGATTTTAACATGTACTGTTTAACCATGAAATTTAAGTTTAATAGGGTGTAGTGTTATGGTTTTATGTTAAAACCCAGTGCATTTAACATAATGCTGCACTTTAGAAAATGGGTTGAAATATAACATGTTGGTGGAGTTGGGTTCTGACTATCAGCTTGTGGAGCTCTCGGGAGACCGATGTTTTCCACCCTTATCCCCTCCCCGCAGCTCGGCGCATCTCTGTCTGATCGCGGCTTCTGTCTGCTGTGCGGCTGCCGGCTTGTGGAGCTCTGGGATGGAAACCTTTCCACCCAGTTCTCTTCAGCAGCAGCTCTGTTCATCTCAGATCGCAGCGGCGCTTGTCTGCTGTGCAGCTGCCGGCTTGTGGAGGTCTCGGGAGACCTCTGTGTTCCACACGGTTTTACCCAGCGGTCAGCCAAGCGTATCTCTGACTCAGAAGCTCTGGTGTTGTGCACAGTTAACTCCGGTTGTAGCTAGATTGCTACCTCCGTTAGCTTAGCTCCCACCTCCGCGTTAGCTTTGGGTTAGCCAGGGTTAGCTTCAGGTTAGCTTGTAGCTAGTTCGACCGGGTGTCGACAGTTGATCCCAGCCTTACAGTCCCACCCTCAGCTCCTCCTCTCTTCCCTTTTTTGGAATTGTCTGGGCTTGACGGAACCTGTGACACGGTCAAAATGGCGGTGGTGGCCACCTCCCATTTGGCCTCAAAAACGTGATATTGGAGCCTATGGAAAGGAATTGTCCAGTATATTTATGTCGATGGTCAATGGGGCAGTACTCCACACTCTGTTGGAGAAGACGCAAATACGTCATTTTTATAAATAAAGGACTTAAGTACCTCTATCTTCTCTTGAATTAAAGAATAGCCCGAGTCTAAATAGCCCAAAGTTAATACCAAAGCCTGCTAAAACGAGCCCCTGCCATCTTAGTTTCGCTCTGTCATAACAACTTCCCGCCCACCAAACAGATAAAGCACTGTGATTGGAGTGGCATCAGAGTGTCTGGGGCTGTGGAGGTTCCAACGGAGTGTGGCTAGACTGACATGCAGAGTAAAATCATTTTGCTTTGGCTACAGTCTAGATTCTGAACTGCAACACCACAGCAAAGTTTGGACTTTGCTGCATCAGGTCTAGCTGTTAGCTGATGAGTTCAGAAAGATGTGCACCCCCTTTCTACAGACTGAGGCCATTCAAGAAACTGTCTACGATAGGTAAGGTGATTATTTTAAATTTTTACATTTAAAAATGGCCCAAAAATCCCCTTTAATTTCAGAGTTACCATTATCCTTGCCACCTTTTGACTGATTCCATGAACACATGGTTCGTTTAGCCTAAAGCCGACTCTGGCTGTGTGTGTGGCCCTATTTGTTTATGCGAGTCTGTGCTTTCACGACCATAACTGTAATTGAAAGACCTTGATTTATAGGTAATCCTTGGCTTTGCTCTCACCGTGAACCTCACAGGGAGCAGCGCTGGCTGTCAGCCTCATGTGTCCTTGAGTCAAAGCTGTGTGCCGTCCTTGACACGTACACCTCTCCCCATCTCTTTCTCTCTTACCGTGCCACCATATTAAAGAAACAACCTCTATATACGCACAAGCACTCACTACTGATGTGATTATATTCTGCTGACAGAGCACAGATACAATTATATTGGTAAAATGTTTATTTCTAACACATGGAGGAGCTCTGTAATTACATTTTGGGGCCATGTGGTGTGTAAAGAAAATAGTGCACTTGTAGAACTAGTTTACCATAAGTAGTCAGATGATTCACTCTAGCCCATGTAAGTATTTCTTTGTGTGCAGGCAGTTTGCCTTATATAGAAGAAGATGGTCTTCAGTTATCTAAAGCTAATATGGTGAAGGTATGGATTGGTTCATCCATTCTGAGGAGATTCTATCCCCTCCTTCCATGGGAGTGGAAAATGTACCCCAAGGTAAATAAAATAAGTTGTTTGGACATTGCTCGGGGGATTTTCCTTTGGCTGGATTTCCTGATGCATCGAACCTGTACTGATGTGGACTCTTTAACCCTCCTGCTGTCCTAATGGGTGTGACCCCGTGAGGAAAGTTGACCATTGAGCAGAGTTGATGGTTTATCTCTCGAGGTCCATGTGGCAGGGGTGAGGAGTGAGCACCACTTCACCCCTGCCACATGGACCTCAAGGGATAAACCATCAATCCTGCTCAATGGTCAACTTTCCTCACGAGGTCACCCATTAGGACAATGGGAGGGTTAACAAAGTTTTCTGATGTCAAAGAGTCTGCCTCAGGAAGCCTTTCTTCAGAGCATACTTGTCGGCTGACAACCCCAGACTGAACTGACGACAACCTCCAGCAGCTTCATTCAGTCGTACCGTGTTTTTGCTGCTCAAACCTGACCAAAACAAGTAAGACTGAATTGATTTAAACATTTTCTTTCACAACTTGTTAATATATTTATGAATATAATTGTTTAGAGGGTAAATTAGCTCAGATTTATTATTTATTTATTCATTAGCATTTGAAAAACAGCATAAAACAATCCACTCTAATGAAATATGAAGAGTACAAAAATGTAACATCATCCTAAAGGGGCACTAGGCAGTTTTGGGCTGCTTTTAGCACCACCTAGTGTCTGTATGTGGAACCAAAAGCGAAATCTACTCCTCACTGTGCGCTCGTCGTTTTAACACCTTAATCTATCAGCTGAAATGTCTCCCCAGTCTTCCTTACTGTCTAAAGGTGTGATTAATCTCTTAATTAAACAAAGCAGCTATGTTAAGGATCTAAAACATGCAGGAAATGTGCTGAAACCAGACTGCAGCGCCAGGTATGTCCCAACAGAGCGGCCCGCCAGTCTGAAGTTGCAAGTGGAATATTCTGGCCATAGGAGTGATAGGGGCCAGGTGGCCTTTATTTAACCCCATAAATGGTCATTTTAGCACATACTGGCTCAAGAGAATGTTTTAAAAGTATTAAAACGTTGCAAAGTATCCCTTTAAATCAGCCTGTTAAAGCAGGCAAAAAGTGTCAACAAAAGCTAAATAATAGATTCGCAAAAGTACCTAAAGAAATTGTGTGCATGTCATTTTTTAAGTTTCTGCATTCGATGCCAATAATACATTAAATGCATGCAGAAAAGGGTCAAAAGGTCTGAGTAGATACTCTGAATTCCCATGGTGCCTGAGAGTCCAGCTGTGTAAACAACACAGAAGCTTTTCTCAGTGTTTTCCCTTTTCCTTCAGCTGAATTCAGTTCCTTTACACCTTTTGTACCTCTGTGTCCATTAGCGTGCTACAAGTATTTCTGCTTGGCTTGTCATGCGTAGGAGTTGGCACAGAGCGCTGCTGGAGGATAGCAGGTGTGAGGAGATGGTGAGGTCAAAAAGGGGGAAAAAACAAAAAAGAGTGGGTCAGATGAGTGAGTGATGGGAAAAACTAAAAGGAGGTGGACAGTAAAGGTGGAGGTGATGGATGCAGGGAAACCTCACGGGAACTGGCTTGTTCTGGCAGACTAATTGAAGTGACGTGCAGCAGCAGACTCGGAGCTGTCACTCCCGTGAAGAGCCCATTTGCTGCATTTTGCAGGTTGTGTGCTGAATCCCGATGATGTGACAGAAAGCCCACTACAGACCCACAGAGACATCCCACTCCCTCCAACAAACATTCAACCCACCCCCCTGAATCTCCAGCTGAATCTCCAGAGGTCCTTCGTGAAGGGGTCTGAGGCTTTCTGCACACAAGCGCTTGCGGCCAAGAACAACGTGTGAATATGAATGATTTTGCATTGAGGATTTTACAAATTTGTTGGGCAATCTCATGCATGATGATGTGAAATGAGGCTCTGCTGGAAGTGATTTGATTTTTGCAGGATTTCCCTTGTTGGACTGGGGCAGATGATGTCGTCTAGCAGAGCACATAGCTGAAAGCATTCAGTGAATTCATTATCATGTATTAAAACAGCCATTTAGTAAAGTGTTTATTAAAAAAGGCAACAGAGTAGGACGTTCTGCATTAATATACAGCAATGTGCACATGGTTATTAGTGTGTTTCATAATAATGTGGAAGATGCTGTAAATGCATTGGTTTGTGATCAGATGAAAGGAGGCTGTAGTTTAAGAAGATTAAGTTTTCTGTATGTTTCTCACCAAGAATTCTTTCTGTCTCTATAATTACTTTTAAGTCTGATTCAGGCCATTTGTCATCAATAATTATTCATCCTGACCTTCCCTGTTAATGAGCTTTCCCAAAAGGGGGAAGATTATTGATCTGTAATTATTGATGCTTCCACCTTCATTTGCCTATAATTTAATGTGCAGACACACTCAACTAATCAAGTTCATCTTTATTTATAAGACTTTTCACATGATGAATGGTGGAACACTGGAAAGCATAATCTTTTAAAGAAGATGGAGGAAAATGTGTCAATTAGAAAAGGTAAAATGTATGATTATATATTTATATTTATATATTTATTTATTATTCCTCTGTTTAATAGAAAAATTAGACTTAATTTCATTGTCAAGCTTGAAATCAGACAGTGAAATTTGTAATGAAAAACATTTTCAAAATGTCTTCATTTTTATTCTGGTAATTCAGAATTGTGATTAAAAGTGCAAACTGCCTCCCAAAGCCTTCAGATGGTAACAGTGCCAGCATCAAACTGTAGATGAGGTCTGAGGAAGTTCTGGAGACTCTGACTATGTGGAGGTGTTTTGTATCAGATTGAAAATCCTGCAGGGTGATTTCACATCTTTTCTTTACCCCTGTGCTGCTATGGCAACCATCATCACTAAAGGTGTATGTTCTGTATGCAACACATCCTGAAGAGCTTCAGGGTTACTGACTAAAAGCTCTTCTGTGGTTAAGTGAATGACTTCAGTAAGATCATCTATCCATCTATTCATCCATCCATCCATCCATCCATCCATCTACCCACCCATCCATCCATCTATTCATCCATCCATCCATCTATTCATCCATCATCCATCCATCAATCCATCTACCCACCCATCCATCCATCTATTCATCCATCATCCATCCATCAATCCATCTACCCACCCATCCATCCATCTATTCATCCATCCATTCACCCACCCATCTATTCATCCATCTATTCATCTGTCCATCCATCCATCCATCTACCCACCCATCCATCCATCTATTCATCCATCCATCCATCTATTCATCCATCATCCATCCATCAATCCATCTACCCACCCATCCATCCATCTATTCATCCATCATCCATCCATCAATCCATCTACCCACCCATCCATCCATCTATTCATCCATCCATTCACCCACCCATCTATTCATCCATCTATTCATCCATCCATCCATCCATCCATCTACCCACCCATCCATCCATCTATTCATCCATCCATCCATCTATTCATCCATCATCCATCCATCAATCCATCTACCCACCCATCCATCCATCTATTCATCCATCATCCATCCATCAATCCATCTACCCACCCATCCATCCATCTATTCATCCATCCATTCACCCACCCATCTATTCATCCATCTATTCATCTGTCCATCCGTCCGTTCGTTCGTTCCTTCGTCCATCCATCCATCATCCATCCATCCATCCCTTCATTCATCTACCCATCCATCCATCCATCCATCCATCCATTCATCCATCCTTTCATTCATTCATCTACCCATCCATCCATCCATCCTTTCATTCATTCATCTACCCATCCATCCATCCATCCTTTCATTCATTCATCTACCCATTCATCCATCCATTAATCTACCCATCCATCCATCCATCTACCCATCCATCCATCCATCTACCCATCCATCCATCCATTCATCCATCCATCCATCCCTTCATTCACCTACCCATCCATCCATCCATCCTTTCATTCATTCATCTATCCATCCATCCATCAATCTACCCATCCATCCATCTACCCATCCATCCATCCATCCATCATCCATCCATGCATCCATCCATCCCTTCATTCATTCATCTACCCATCCATCATCCATCCATCCCTTCATTCATCTACCCATCCATCCATCCATCAATCTACCCATCCATCCATCCATCCATCCATCCATCCATCTACCCATCCATCCATCCATCCATCCATCATCCATCCATGCATCCATCCATCCCTTCATTCATCTACCCATCCATCCATCCATCCATCCATCCATCCTTTCATTCATTCATCTACCCATCCATCCATCCATCCATCATCCATCCATCCATTAATCCATCCATCCCTTCATTCATCTACCCATCCTTTCATTCATTCATCTACCCATCCATTCATCCATCCATCCATCCATCCATCCATCGATTCGTTCATTCATTCATCTACCTATCCATCCATCCTTTCCTTCATTCTTCTACCCTTCCATCTATCAATCCATCTACCCACCCATCCATTCATCTATTCATCTGTCCATCAATAAATGCATCCACCCATCCATCAATTCATTCGTTCGTTGGTTCGTTTGTTCGTTTGTTCATTCATTCCTTCGTTGGTTCATTTGTTTGTTGGTTCCTTCCTTCCTTCCTTCCTTCCTTCCTTCCTTCCTTCCTTCCTTCCTTCATTCATTCATTCATTCATTCATTCATTCATTCATTCATTCATTCATCTACCCATTCATCCATCCATCTCTTCATTCATTCATCCATCCATATATATAATACATTGTGAGAAATATATCTGCATATGATGATAGGGATCATTTTAAATCCTCAAGTTTATTGAATTTGGGGGGGGGGGGGGGGGGGGGATCCTTTGTGGATCACAGCTCACTCACCTTCCTCCTTTTTTCCGGGTCCGGTTCACAGGGGCAGCATCCCAATAGGGCCTCCGAGGCAATCCTCCCCCCGGCCACGTCCTCGGCTGGGACACTCAGACGTTCCCTGGCCAACCTAAAGATGCATTTCCTTCAGGTAGTCCTGGGTCGACCTGGGAGCCTCCTGCCGGCAAGACATGCCCAAACACCTTCCGAAGGAGGCGTCCAGGAGGCATCCTGACCAGATGCCCGAATCGCCTGAACTGGCTCCTTTCAACGCAGAGGAGCAGTCTTTGTTTTTAGGGTAAGCTGAAGTAAATCTGGAATGGCCATAAAGTCTGAACTGTTTATATTTTTAGCAAAGCAGAGAAATGATCCAGGTAAGGAAAAGTTGGTTGACAGTGACACATTTTTCCATTGAGTGTGTGTGTGTGTGTGTGTGTGTGTGTGTGTGTGTGTGTGTGTGTGTGTGTGTGTGTGTGTGTGTGTGTGTGTGTGTGTGTGTGTGTGTGTGTGTGTGTGTGTGTGTGTGTGTGTGTGTGTGTGTGTGTGTGTGTGTGTCCTTAATCTTCAGAGGAATGCAAACAGTGTCCCTCCCCATGAGCCCTGGCACAGATCCCACCAAATAACCGCTCACACCTCAATGGAACAAAGCCTTTGCTATAGCCAAGCTGAGCAGGAACGGCAGGCAGGAAGCTACACGGGAAGCCCAACACTGCCCCAGTCCAACACAAACACATAAACCTTAAAATGTATCACCGGGTCATGTGTGGTTGGGAGGTCAATCGCTGCACGGCAGAGATCACTAACATCCACAGGATGGATCAATAAAATCAATCACACAGGGAGGTAATGCTGAGAATCAGCTCCAGTAAGTGAAGAGACAGCTTAGATGAACATGTAGAGGGAGGGAATGACATTTATCTGAAGGAACTGATGAGGTTGACACTGAAACTTGAGTGTTTATGCAGATTTTGGCATTTTCTCCTGTTCTAATATTGTTTGGTAATTTTAAAACATCCGTACGGTGGATGACACCAAGTTATTTAATCAGACTGAGATTGTTTCAGTTGCACTTCATCAACATCACCTAGAGTCATCACAGGGGCGCCACCAGAAAATTCTATAGGGGTGGCCAAATGAGGCCAAAGAAATTTTTGGGGTGGCACACCAAATTGGTTCATGTGGTAACTCTGGGAGAGTTTAGCCTGTGGCGATGTATTGCATTGCTCCTTTATTCATTTTTATTAAAAATAAAAATAACAGTACATATCCAAAACATTTAACTTCAATTTTACAAACCCAAACATATCAGAAAAATACATTTCAGTTTTTTAAAATGTTATTTCAAATTTAATTTAAAAAGGTATTTTTTCAGGTTAATTCACCTGTTGCTGTGTTTGGGTTGGGGTCAAAACTATGGAGATAAAAACTGTAGGGATGAGAACCTTGTTTTTTTGGACTGCACAGTTGCAACAGTGACTTTGTTGTATTTCTTTTTTCCTTTCCATGTTCTTTTTTTTTAAAAGGTGTAAATTTGATAAAATGAATGAATTGATACTCTTATTATGAATTGGATTTTTTTTCTCTTTTGAAACTTTAAATATGTAAAGAGGGTAGGACTTAAAAGTGTATACTTCAACCTACCTCCATTTCAAACAATAATGATTGTTACAAATTATGTTATTTACATTATTTTTAATTGGTAATGTTTGAAATAAAAATAAACAAACAAACAAACAGCTCGTCCTTGAACCGTCACCTTATCGTGGTGGAGTTTGAGTGCCTAATGATCCTAGGAGCTATGCTATCTGGGGCACTTTGTGCCCCTGGTAGGGTCTCCCATGACAAATTGGTCTTAGGTGAAGGGTGAGACAAAAAACGGTTCAGGGGATCTTTCATGGATGTAAATTCAAAGAGTCGGAGTACCCGGCCTGGAGGATTACCGGGATCCCACACTGGAGCCAGGCCTGGGGTTGGGGCCCGTGAGCGAGCGCCTGGTGGCCGGGCTTTCGCCCATGGGGTCCGGCCGGGCCCAGCCCGAACTGGATACATGGGCTCATCCAACTGTGGACCCACCACCCGCAGGAGGAACATGAAGGGTTTGGTGCAGTGTAGATCGGGTGGCAGACCGAGGCGGGAGCCTTGGCGGTCCTATCCCCGGACAAGGAAACTGGTTATTGGGACATGGAACGTCACCTCGCTGGCGGGGAAGGAGCAGGAGCTTTTGGCAGAGGTTGAGCGGTACCAGCTAGATGTAGTCGGACTCACCTCGACACATAGCATTGGCTCTGGAACCCAAGTCCTTGAGAGGGGGTGGACACTCTCCTTTGCTGGAGTTACTCCGGGTGAGAGGTGGAGGGCTGGGGTTGGCTTTTTGTTAGCCCCGAGACTCTGCCTGTGTGTTGGGGTTTACCCCGGGGGACGACAGGGTAGCTTCCCTGCGCCTTCAGGTTGGGGAACAGGTCCTGACTGTTGTTTGTGCTTATGGGCCAAATGTCAGTTCAGAGTACCCACCCTTTTTGGAGTCCCTGGGACGAGTGCTAGATAGTGCTCCATCAGGGGACTCCATTGTCCTGCTGAGGGACTTCAATGCTCACGTAGGCAATGACAGCTTGACCTGGAGGGGTGTGATTGGGAGGAACGGCCCGCCTGATCTGAACTCGAGTGGTGTTTCATTATTGGACTTCTGTGCAAGCCACAGTTTGGCCATAATGAACACCATGTTCGAACATAAGGATGCTCATCGGTACTGTAGTGACTATCAAGTCCCACTTTTAGTCACCCTTGGGTGCGGGTGGAGGCAATGACTCGCTTCAACAATATTGTCCAGGCAGAAAGCGGGTTTGGGTTTATTGTCCCATTTATTGAATATGATGACGATCACAAGCTGGGTCCACCATGGCTATTTCTTGTCCAGGTTTATGTAAATGATGAAAAGTATAACGGCAAATTATATGAAACCAAACGAAGCGGTAAAAACCGTGTGACCTCCCGTCACCCACAAAACACCAATGCACTGCCACTTCAACACCTTTATAGGCTCTGCAGTGCCACCAGTGGTCAAAGGAAATACAAACCATAGTGCAATAAACTGAAATGTACATAAAACATTATCAAAATAAACTTAGACCATAAGATAATCTAAACCAAAACAATATTGGCTCCTACAGGTACATTTGGTACCAGGGCAGCCTAGGTTGCAGGTCGATGATAGACTTTGTAGTCGTATCGTCTGACCTGCGGCCGTATGTTTTGGACACCCAAGTGAAGAGAGGAGCAGCGCTGTCAACTGATCACCACCTGGTGGTGAGCTGGATCAGATGGCAGAGGAAGATGCCGCGTAGACCTGGCAGACCCAAACGCATAGTGAGGGTCTGCTGGGAACGCCTAGCAGAAGAACCTGTCAAGACTGTCTTCAACTCCCACCTCCGGCAGAACTTTGACCGCGTCCCGAGAGCAGTGGGGGGACATTGACTCCGAGTGGGCCTTGTTCCACTCTGCAATTGTTGAGGCGGCTGTTAATAGCTGTGGTTGCAAGGTGGCCGGTGCCAGTTGTGGTGGCAACCCCCGTACCCGCTGGTGGACACCAGAAGTTCGGGGAGCTGTCAGGCTGAAGAAGGAGGCCTACAGGGTGTGGCTGGTCTGTGGAGGCAGCAGACAGGTACCGGATAGCCAAGCGGGGTGCAGCAGTGGCAGTTGCCGAGGCAAAATCTCGGGCGTGGGAGGAGTTTGGTGAGGCCATGGAGAAAGACTATCGATATGCGCCAAAGAGATTCTGGCAAACTGTCCGGCGCCTCAGGAGAGGAAGGCAGCAACTCGCTCACACTGTTTACAGTGGGGATGGGGAGCTGCTGACGTCAAATGGGGCTATAGTCGGATGGTGGAAGGAATACTTTGAGGAGCTCCTCAATCCCAACAACACGCATTCCGAGGAGGAACCAAAGCCGGTAGACCTGGGGATGGACTGTCCAATCTCGGGGGCAGAAGTTGCTGAGGTAGTCAAACAACTATATTTATGTTGATGTATTTAGCAGACGCTTTTGTCCAAAGCGACTTACAAGTGATAATCGGCATGTTTCCCTTGAGTCTAACAACAACAACTAGACATCAGCGGAGCCCCGGGGGCGGATGAGATTCGTCCTGGGTATCTCAAGGCTGTGGATGTTGTAGGGCTGGCGTGGTTGACACGTCTCTGCAACATTGCGTGGTCGTCGGGGGCAGTTCCTGTGGAGTGGCAGACCGGGGTGGTGGTCCCCATCTTTAAGAAGGGTGACCTGAGGGTGTGTTCTAACTATAGGGGGATCACACTACTCAGCCTCCCTGGAAAGGTCTACTCCAAGGTACTGGAGAGGAGGGTCCGATCGATAATTGAATCTCAGATAGAGGAGGAGCAATGTGGTTTTCGTCCTGGCCGTGGAACTGTGGACCAGCTCTACCTTGCAAGGGTGATGGAGGGGGCATGGGAGTTTGCCCAACCAATCCACATGTGTTTTGTGGATTTGGAGAAGGCTTATGACCGTGTCCCCACGGGCACCCTGTGGGGGACGCTCCAGGAGTATGGGGTGGGTGGCTTTCTGTTAAGGGCCATTCAGTCCCTTTACTAGAGGAGCGTGAGTTTGGTCCGCATAGCCGGTAGTAAGTCGGACCTGTTCCCAGTGAGGGTTGGACTCTGCCAGGGCTGCCCTTTGTCACCGGTTCTGTTCATTACCTTTATGGACAGAATTTCTAGGCGCAGCCGTGGTGTAGAGTGTGTCGAGTTTGGTGGCAGGAGAATCTCGTCTCTGCTTTTTGCGGATGAGGTGGTCCTCCTAGCTTCATCCAGCTCTGACCTTCAGCTCTTGCTGGGTAGGTTCGTGGCCGAGTGTGAAGCGGCTGGGATGAGGATCAGCACCTCCAAATCTGAGATCATGGTTCTCGACCGGAAAAGGGTGGCTTGCCAACTCCGGGTCGGGGGGAGAGGTCCTACCTCAAGTGGAGGAGTTTATGCATCTCGGGGTCTTGTTCACGAGTGAGGGTAGGAGGGATCGGGAGATCGACAGGCGGATTGGTTCAGCGTCTGCAGTGATGCGGACGCTGAGCCGATCTGTCGTGGTGAAGAGGGAGCTGAGCCAGAAAGCCAGGATCTCGATTTACCAGTCGATCTACATCCCAATCCTCACCTATGGTCATGAGCTTTGGGTAATGACTGAAAGAACGAGATCGCGGATACAAGCGGCCGAGATGAGTTCCCTCTGTAAGGTGGCCGGGCTCAGCCTTAGAGATAGGGTGAGGAGCTCGGACATTCAGGAGGGGCTCGGAGTAGAATCGCTGCTCCTCCGGATCGAAAGGAGTCAGTTGAGGTGGTTTGGGCATCTGGTCAGGATACCTCCTGGACACCTCCCCAGGGAGGTGTTACGGGCATGTCCTGCCGGCAGGAGGCCCCCGGGTCGACACAGGACACATTGGAGATGTTACATCTCCAATCTGGTCCAGGAACGCCTTGGGGTCCTGCCGGAGGAGCTGGTGGAGGTCGGGGAGAGGACGGTCTGGAGCTCCCTAGTTGGGATGCTGCCCCCGCGACCCGGACCCGGGTAAGCGGAGGAAGACGACGATGACGAGACGACGACGACAACAAACAAACAGAACTTTTTTTTAAATCGTGAGCAGCAGAAACATATTTTCTTTACTCATTAATTGTATTATTTTTATTTTATTTTACAATTATGTCTTGAATAAACAAGATCATTATATAGTTTGACTGAACATTAATGTAATTTATTAACACTGGCTTTTCCTGGGGGGTCAGCTGTTTTTTAGGGGTGGCTTTGGCCATCTCTTGGGGGTGCCCTTGAGTAGTCAGTTGTCACTCATCAGTCCTGATGTTGTCTGCTGTTCTGAAGGCCACTTGAATGTCCTCACAACCATGATGGGAACCTTGACTCAGTTGCAGGCATTCCTCTCTTGTCACATATAGGACTTTGAGACTCGTCATCTTGGGGAGCTGTCCCTCCTTCTAGTCTCGCCTGTGGGGCCTCCAGCAGAGACACAGTCACATCTACAGTCATGATTGTCACTTTGCCACTGCCCTTTCAATTAGATGCTCAATTTCACCCCCACGTCCCACAGGAGTTACGACACCACAATTTCAGATTGGAATCTCCTCAAAGTCAGACCCTCCTCCTCTTCACAGGGGAAGGTGGACGCATTCCTATTCAGAACTGAGACTTCAACATGCTAGAAGATAATGTGATGGAGCAGTAAACATTGAGAGGACTAATACATGATCATGCCTCATGGAAAGAAAAGCGGAGGAAAAAAATGTCTACATTTAGACAGCAGAAGGGTTTCCTTTATTTTTTTTATCTTAGAAGAAGAAATCTGCACAAATCAAAGTCTTAAAAATATAAGAAAAATATAAAGTATTCAATTTAATTGTTAATTATAGAAATGATTCTTGATATAAAAAAAATTATCACTTATCTGGTTTCATTTTGAGCGCAAAATAGCAACAGTGTTCTTTACTGTTTCAGCCCATGTTACCCAAAATGAGGGTTTAGGTCAGACAGGATCTTTATTTGCCTTGTAGTTTTGATTTCTGCTCACAATGAGGCAAAGCTCTTGATTTTAGTGCAGTTAAAATAAAATTAGATCAAGAAATCAACAAATGATCACAGGATGGAGAGATGTGTTTGAGTTTATTATCTGTAAAATAAAATAAACTCCAATCCTGGAAATTGAAATACCTCATTGCAGGCTCCCACATAGCAAATCTTGTAACGATGAACGTCTGATTAGTTCAAAGTAGAGATTTTCTCATGTTTATTTTATTGTATGTGTGTGTGTGTGTGTGTGTGTGTGTGTGTGTGTGTGTGTGTGTGTGTGTGTGTGTGTGTGTGTGTGTGTGTGTGTGTGTGTGTGTGTGTGTGTGTGTGTGTGTGTGTGTGTGTGTGCAGTCATGTACTGCTGACTTCATCCCAACAGGTTCCAACAGAAACTGTGGGACAGAGCGACATCTAGTGGTGGTGATCACACTTCACCATCTCCCATCTGCCTCTTGATTTGATTCTTCTGTTTGTTTTTCATTTTAAAAATAAAGCAGTCAGACAAATATGCAGAATAGTTCATGTTGTTTTGTTAATTGAATAAACAATGTTAAACTGAAAATGTCTAAACTTACTTCTGCAAAACATATTTCTGTCTAAAATATGAACAAATCAAAGAGAAATGCTACATCTGGCTGCAGAGCTCTAAATCACTTTCTAACTAAACTAATCAGGTAAACAACCAAGAAAACACAAGTTATTTCTTTTTAAGTGCCACAAGGGTCGGTTCTTGGACCTGTTCAGTTTGTTTATTTGTTTATTAATGACCTGGTAAATGTATCTGAGCTACTCGGTTCTGTTCTGTTTGCAGTTTAAAAGTTTAAACCTGGTTTGATATAAACAGATTAACACTTAATCTTAAAAAAACTAATTTTATTTTATTTTATGACAGGGGAAACATTGATGTATCATTGAAAATAGGCAGCATGGAAATTCAAAGGGTAAAGGACACCAAATTTTTGTTCTGATTGATGAAGCTCTAACCTGGAAATCACACATTGGTTATATAAAAGGTAAAGTGGCCAAAGCCGTTGCAGTATTACATAAAGTAAAATCTTTACTGAATAGCGCTGGGCTGTTATCATTGTACAATGCACTGATGCATCCATATTTAATTTGTTGTATAGAAATCTGGGGAACTGCATATAGAACTTATACACAACCATGGTTTATTTAGCAGAAAAGAGCTTTGAGAATTGTTAATAATAATCACAGTAGAGTTACATCTAACCTGTTATTTATAAAATATAAAGTAATGAAATTTCATGATTTGGTCATCTGGAGAATTTTGCATACAATGTATAAAGCTAATATTGGTACATTGCCAAAAAAAATTCTGCGATTGTTTGAAAAGAGGGAAAGTAGTTAAATGTTGAAAGAAGCTGAAGTCTTCGAAAAACCCAGATTTAGAACCAGAATGAAGGAAATGAATATTTCTGTGAATTGTGTGAAATCATGGAATTGGCTGGACAGAGAAGTAAAAGTGTTTAGAGAAAATATTAGATCGAGTGTGTTGGGTGGATATGAATGTGAATAATGTCTGTGGCTATAATTGAAATATGGTCTGAGAACGTGACAGAATGAACTTCGTGGGATAAAGACAGTTTTGTTATTTTTGTTTACAAAAAGGGGGCAAAAATTGTACGATTTTTTCTTCCATCAGCTCTCTTTCATTCACGTTGTATTGTGTTTGTATGCATAGTGTTTATTTATTTGTTGTGTTTTTTATTGAATGAAATAAATATGAGAAAAAAATCTGATTCATATAAAGTGTCTCACTTGGGGTTTTTAATGTGAAACTAGATAACTGTATTTTCTGTTAACACATGTATGTACACACGTGGGAATCAGCCCACTTTTTACACACGTGGGAATCAGCCCACTTTGCTGAGGTTTGGCTCAGCACCAGAGCCTTGACCGACGTTGTCCTGATGACGTGAACGTCACAACCAAGGCTGAGATTACTGACATGGAGGGAAACCACAGCCACATGCTGTCTTTACACTTACTTCATTATCCAGAATGTGGTCTAAACAGACATCACATTTATGCAAATGTATATAAATGATATATTTATGCAAACATATATAAAAGAGTTAGTTTAATGTTATGAACTGGAGGCAAAAGTTAGAAAAGTTGCATGAGTCTTTGAGTCTGTTCCCAAGCAGACTGCAGTTTTGCGATAGGGCCGCAGCTCCTGATAAGGGCTGTTTCACCTAAAGAGCTTATCTCCTGAAGGCCGGTGTGTGACCCTCACTGGAAAGACGTTCCTGAAGGTCTCTGCTGGCATCAGAGTGAAGAGGCATCTCACAGAGAATCCATTATAATTCAAAGGTTTCCCTGATAAATCATTGATTTTATTTAGGTTTTAAAGACCAAAACAAGCGGACGTGTGGATGTCTCTAAATTCAGATGAAAGCCAAACAATCCCTGTTCGTTTAGGATGTTCATCTTATTGCTAATATAGGTGGGTTACTTTACACAGCTGCTGCCTTCTACTCAAATAAAACAACCCATCCACAGCTTTTTGTAACTAAGTAGGACATTTTATTTCAAAATGTTCAATTTACAGTCTGAAAATTCAAGAAGCCATTCTAAAATGTATTATTAAAAAAGCAAGAAAAATAACAAAAACCACGTTTGAATGCAAAAGAACTTCAGCTGTTACAAGGAAATTAAAGGGAAGACTCAGGACACACTGGAGGGACTCAGCTGGCCAGGGAACGCCTTGGGATTCCCCCGGAGGAGCTGGTCCAAGTGGCTGGGGAGAGGGAAGTCTGCGCCTCTCTGCTTAGGCTGCTGCTCCCATGACCTGACCCTGGATGAGCAGATGAAAATGGATGGATGGATAAAGAGTGGTGCTGAACCACATGATTGTGGCCTAAAGGAAGATTCACCAGCAAATATATCTCCTCTCCCACCATAAAATATCACATTTACGAGTCTGTAAATATCTGATAATGAAGGGGTAAATAAATGGTTTCTGGGATTAAAGAAATACTCAAATCACACCTGAAAATCTTCGATGGGCACAAGCTGAAGGTTGTTACCATGGCCATGATGATCCTTGGAGATAAGGACCATGAACAAACATCTCTGGACAGACAGTACATGTAATCTCACTAAAGAGCTAAAGTTACACTGAAAGGCTCTTTATAAGCTTGGATTCTTACTAAAAGTGAGTGATAATTGATGAACTCTGGTTGTCCTGGTAACTAAATATCCCAGGAACCGCTGGCTGGATTTTAATGAAAAACTCATATAAGGATCTCTAGATGTACATGAGCTAATTAAAGATGGACGCCACAGACAACTGACCTCAGAAAGCACTAAAATCTGTAAAACTCTGACTATTTAGCCAAATGTTGAGCCAGCACTGGCATTAATGAGTTGTGTTAACCCTGTAAGTGAAAACACACACACATACACAAGGTAAAGTTTTTAACCTTTCACCGGTTTTAAGTTAACATGCAAAGCTAATTTTGACACGTTATCTCTGAAATCTCAAAGTAACATGAGAACTTGGGAGAATTTTTGTTACAAAACTTTAAATAATTTCATTAAAACACATATTTTGCATCAGTTAAACAGTTTATTCTTTACAGGTTTATACAGATATGTGTAATTTTTAAATATATTTCATGTTTACAAGGACTTCCAGTTTTTATATTCCAAGTCACCATATTTAAACCAGTTTGTTGACTAAGATATATACAATTAAATCAGAGGTAACAGTTTCGTGCATGTTTTGCCTTTTTTTTCTTACTTTTCATCAACAGTTTTTGGACTTTGTGTTTATATTGCTCTGAAGCCCTTTACATCCGAGGGCAAAAGACAAACTGTACCTTAGATATTTGTTTTTTTAAGTCTTCATGTTACCGACTCCCTTGTAGAGGCTTCAGAGTCAGTATTATGGGCTTGTTTGGTAGAAGGATGAGCTCGAAGGTGCTCTGCACTTCCACGTTGCGCTGCTTCTCAACTCTGAAATTTTCAAGCATCTGCAAAAAGAAAAGTGGTTAACCTGACGTTCAGCTTTGCAGCACAATGTGATGAATCTGATTAGCGTGTCTCACGTGGATCAGGAAGATCTGCATCTCGGCCTCGGCTATTCTACGTCCCAAACACTGCCGGGGCCCGAAGCCGAAGCCCAGGCTCCTGAAGTACTGCGTCTCGGTCCTCAGCCAGCGAGACGGTTGGTACTGCTCCGGGCGGAGGAACACCTTGGGGTCTCTGCCCATCGCGTACAGTCCTAACTGGACCAAAGTCTAAACACAAACATTATCTATAAAACAATGTTCAAATACTAACTAAAAGATATATAGAGTTATGTCTAAATGCGTTTTACCCCAGCTGGGATGTGGTAGTTTTGAATTATTATGTCCTCTGCAATGTATCTTTGCAAGCTCACAGCGACTGGATGTAACCTGAGGCCCAAATTAGATCATTATTAAAGAGAAAAGTGAAATTAATGTTGTGGATCTGAGACTACCTGATAGTGGAAATGGGTAAACCTTTCCAAGCTACAGGGTGACACCATTTTAGTCCAAAATAAACACAATACACCATCAAATGCTGGAGCTATTATTAAATATTAATTCAAAACACAGGGAACTTTTAAATGGATCACCAGAATTTGAATGAGCTGCATAGATAAATGTTTGCCCACCTCAGTGTTTCCTTCAGAGCTCCTTTGACCAAAGGGATCTTCTTCAGCATCTCCAGCATGTCTCCCTGACTTGCAGCCCGAGCCGCAGCCACCTCTGCCCTCAGCTCCTCCTGCAGGTTCGGGTGCCTGGCTAATTCATACAGCGTCCACAGCAGAGTTATAGATGTCTGGGGATCAAAAAGAAAGTTTTTAACTGATTTTATAAAGTTTAAAGAGACAATTTTTGGTTTTACTTACTGTGTCCACTCCTCCGGCCATTAGCTCAGTGATACTGGCCTTGATGTCCTCAATGGACAGCTTGTCCAGCAGGAGGAGACTAGCCAGGACTCCTGGGTATTTCTCGGAGGTGTCCGTCTCCTGACGCAGCTGCCTGTAGATGTTCTGGATGCAGCGATCCGCTGATGCATCAACAGTGTCATAAGAAATTAAGTCACAACGGGCAGCTAAAAACTAATTTGTGAACGTTTGTCTCACCTTGGTTAAATATCCCATCCCAAGCCTCCACGTGGTCCCGCCACACCCTAGACCTAGTCTGCCTCAGCAGCCCAGGGGGGATGTACAGCATCGGTGAGGTAGTTTTGAACATGAGAGTGATGCAGTCGATAAAATGCTGAGCTTCAGGGTCGATGTAGTCCAGCATCAGACCCAGACGCTCCCCGTACAGCACCGAACTCACAGCTTTTTATCAAAGGAGATCAAAAGGAGCAGCAGCTGAGGAAAGAGTCATTACTCTCAGAACTTACAGCAGAAACTGAGCCAGGCTTACATTCTAGTGCATATTTGAAGAGCTCCTGAGACAGGTCAGTGGTCCACTTGTTCTGACCACTTCTCGTTATCTTTTTGTGAACTCGGGTGACAAAATCCTGGCCTACATCATCCAGCAGGGGCACAAAGTTTTCCAGCATCTTAAGAGAAATCACCTCCTTGTTAAGAATCACCCGGTTTGACCTCCAGTCTTCGCCGTTCCTATAGCAAGACATGATTTAAAACTCTTGAAATAATAACAGTCGAGTAAAACAGAACCCACGCACTTCAGCAGAACTCCATATTTGCGGTTCCTGTAGTCTCTGTATGACGTCCACGCTTCAACTTTCAGTCTTTTGGGATGATGCCCCTCAGCTTTGAAGAGGATCGCAGCATCTTCTGGTTTGATGATGTTGACACTTTCATAATAACCTATTTTCTCTCTGACAAACAGAAAGGGAGGGCAGAAGTTAAACGTTTTTATCTGATGCTAGATTACGTGACCTCGTAGAGTGACGTTCTTTTAAACATCAACAATCGTTTTTATTGATGTCATTAAATTCCTCTAGTGAAATCAGAACGGTCTTGCCTGTAAATGGGCCCAAAGGTGTTGAAGTTCTGCAGCATGATGCGGTGAAGGTTCCTGAAGCCATCCTGTTTCCAGAAGTTGTACAGGTTGCCCAGCCCGTTCTTCCACAGTCCGGGAATCTCACTGAAAGGTCTGACGATGCTGGTGCTGCTCTCCGAGTACGAGTGTCGGATCACCGGCATGCTGCTGTTGCAGCGCACGCCTGAAGCCGTCTGCTCCTCGATCCAAGACCAGGGAAGCGTCACGGGGCTCCGCCACAGACTCAGCCTGGACATCTTCACTGCAAAATCAGTCTGGGCTTTCCTAAACAGCTGCTCTGGCTCTCTTCCTGCCTTCCCATGGAAAGAGGACGTCCGGAGGCTGGTCTACAGAGCACCCCCTACCCCACCCTCCTCTGCGGTGATCAAGGTTTTTTTTATTGAAACACTTCAAAGGAATCCACCAAAACACAGTTACAGCTGTAACTTCCCTTTTTTTTTTTTTTTTTTTGGTTTTCTTAAATCTTGAGGATCTCCTTTTGTAAACATTGTGGGAAAAGTTTATTAGAAATCTCTTGTTATGCAAAGTGGCAGAAACTGTAGTGAAATTGCAGCATACAGGTTGGATTTTGACATAAAATGTAATTAAAACACTCACATACAAAATTCTACCAACTGGTAAAACTAAATAAGTTAAATAATAAAGTTTTTTTTTTTAGGAGGGATTTTTCTTGAGTAGCTTTGTGAGTTCTTCCAGCTTCATGGCTGTCTTCATGTCTCCCTGGACGTTCAGTCTGCCACTGCTGAAAGCAGCAAATGGACTCAGCTCTGCCCTGAACATGGCCACCAGATCGGAGTCGCTCATGCTCAGAGTCACATCCGGCTCTCGGCACAGAGACCCTGATCCGACCGTGCCTCTGCCTGCAACACATTCAACAAAAACACGTGTTTCAGCCTGTACTTCAGTTAGGTAATTACGCACCACCCACATCATTACTCTTGTCATTTTAATAGAAATTAAATGGGAATTATTTTGTTTTGAAATGAAAATGAAATTCTTACAAACAACCAAAATCAGGAGTTTAGTTCAGGGGTCTGCAACATGCTGCTCTTTGGACCTTTTGCTCTGAATACTGTTGGCTAAAAATGATTAATTGAAATAAATACTGATGCTTTTAAATATAGGTGTTGTTGTTTTTTTAATGAAGGTTTAAGTACTTTTTCAGGTTCTTTGTGGAATAATTGCATTGAAATTCCATAACAGAAAAAGGAAAAGTACCATTAATATTTTTTTTATTTATTTAAGTTTCTTTTCCATAATTTTCAACACCTCTTGTGGATTTGAAAAAATTACAAAACATCTTTAATAGTAGCTATATATCGAAGAGAATAATATGACTTTAATCCCAGAAAAAAGTCAGAGTCCTAAAAAGTTCTGACTTTTTCCTCTGAATTCTCAAAAATCTGAGAAAAAAAGAGAACTTTTATTTCAGTGGGCCTTATCCACTTCTGTAGATGTTTATCAAAATCCTAAACTATAATTTTTCTAAAAGTTATACTACTGAAGAGGATTAGGGCCACTGAAACGAAAAGAAAGAGAATCTGATTTTATTTCTCAGAATTATTCAGACTTTATTCTGACCTTAATCTCAAAAATCTGACTTTTCCTCAGAATTCTGACTTTAACAAGTCTGAGAAAAAAGTCAGAATTCTGCGATTAAAGTCTGAATTCTGAGGGGAAAAAATCAGAATTCTGAGATTAAGGTCAGAATTAAGAGAAAAAAGTCAGAATAATTCTGAGAAAAAAAAGGTCAGAATTGTGAGATTAAAGTCAGAATCCTTTTACGGACATGCAAGCTTTGGAGCTCTAAACGAGTTTTAATCTGGTGGATTGAGGGTGAAAACGGCTTTCTGGATTATGAAGGTTACAGACCCCTGGTTTAGAAAGATTATGAACTTTAATCAAAATAATGATTCAAAACTTACAAAATGCATCTTTCCCAGAAAATATTCTGTTCGTCTTTTGATCATTTCTGCACTAAATACACAACAGAGCTCCAGATGTGTACTTTATGATAAACTACATGCACACACATGCTTTACAGGCACTTAAACTACATATTAATTGTGTTTGATTTGCTGGGTTTTTTTTTTACACTTTTTACAAAGCTTGGTAGATATTATATATACCGTAAATCCTCTAATACAGGCCCGGGCCTGTATTTGACTCAAGCTCATCAAGCTCCAGGCCTTTATTGGAAGGAGGGCCAGTATTAGAGGCAGGCCTCTATTTCTATTTGAGCAAAATGAACTAATGGTTCGCTGGAGTTTTTGACAATTAAAATTGCGCCCACATTTTCAAAGTTAAACACATTTCTTTTAACAACGGTAGTTTCTGCTTCAGCCCTCTCCCCCCTCCCCCTGCTTCAGCCCTCTCCCCCCTCCCCCTGCGCAGCGGCCGCAAACTCACTGATGCACCTGCAGCCTCTCGGAGTTCCTGCTGCTCTAAACATTAAAATAATTATTTCATTTTCTGTTCCTCACTTCTGATGACCTTCAATGGTGTCTGTTTGTTGCAACCAGCAGGTACAAAAACTAACTTGTTTTTATTTGACTATTTTTCTGTCCTGCCTGTTTATTATCTTCCTGCATCTCCTCTCAATCCAAAAGAAAAACTGCTACCTGGGTTCATATATATTCACCTTATGAGTTACCTTTGAACTGCAGTTCTAAAAGATCTACCGACCGCAAAAACAGCGGAGCGCTCGCTGTTTGGCGGCCGTGTCAGTGATCAGTGCGTCGGAGGACAAGGTGCGCGCAGCGCCCCGCTCCACAGCATGCAGCGAAACGCATCAGGCGCAAATAAAAGACAGAAAACATTAAAGGAAATGAACTGACATGAACGATCGCGTGTTAAATTAGTTTTTGAGGTGGCGACACCTGATTGTTACTGTGGCCGTGCTCAGGAGGCAGATCTACCGACCGCGAAAACAGCGGAGCGCTCCCTGCTTGCCGGCCGCATCAGTGATCTGTGCGTCGGAGGACAAGGTGATGCGCCCCGCTCCACAGCAGTGATACACATCAGGCGCAAATAAAAGACAGAAAACATTAAAGGAAATGAACCGACATGAACGATCGCGTGTCAGTACCTACGGTCTGGCACAGCGTGTGTCCCCCCCCCCCCCCCCCCCCCAGGAGCTTGTCACCTGCTGATAGCAGGCTGCTGTCTTTTCCGAGGGCTGCATCTTGCCGGTCATTATCACGTGACAGCGACTAGTCGATAACAGGCATAAAAAGTCACTATAGTGAAGTTGACTAGTTCATACAACCCCTGCTACTGCTCCCCAGAGTGTTCTGCAGCATAATCAGCACGTTCTCTTTGAACTTGATAGTGTAATGACCTGGCTGGGGTTGTAAGCCAGGTGCATTCTGGGTATTGTGTTATATGTGTTTCCTATCGTTCTGTTAGTTCCTATGTGCTGATTTGCGTGTTGTGTGAGTGTTATGTAAGCCACAGGGAAGGTGATGTGTGTTCTGTGGAGCAGGTTGAATTAGCATGGTTAACTGACACCGTGACTCTGTGTGGTAGGAGCGTGATAGAGGATCGTGTCTGTAGCATTGAAGAAAAAGCCTAATAAAGGTCTGCGTGAACCCCTACTGCCTCCTGCTGGTTGATTTGGGGACTATGACCCTGCCGCTGGGATGCTCATACTTGCTTGTTACCACATTCCACCCGGCCACAATAAGAGACTGGCCATTATTTACCTCCGCTGACTCCGACACCGGCCAAAATTGGAGACCCGGCCTTTAATTGAATACTGGCCTGTTTTAGAGGATTTACGGTAGTATTATTTATTTTAAATATAGTTTTATAAAACTTATTAACTTATTTTGAAAGATCAGTGTCAGCACACCTTCTCTTATCTTGCTTCTGCAGCATAACTGAGCTCAGAGTAGGTTTTATTATAAAATTTAAAAATAAATTGCCATTAAGGTATTCTTGTTTTTTTAGTGTAGGCTACTGCCGTGCAAATGTGTGTGTGTGTGTGTGTGTGTGTGTGTGTGTGTGTGTGTGTGTGTGTGTGTGTGTGTGTGTGTGTGTGTGTGTGTGTGTGTGTGTGTGTGTGTGTGTGTGTGTGTGTGTGCGTGCGTGTGTGTGTTTTATAACAGATTTGGCATAAAATCTACTTTATTATATTAGCTACAGTCACCTTGACTCAGATCCAGATAGTATTTGAGCTGTTGTCCATCTGCTGAGCTGACTTCAAACTGGAAACAAGCCCCAACCTTGTGGACCAAATCCTCAGAGAGAATCATCTGAACACTGCTGAGCAGATCCTCGAGAGAACTCGGTGTGGTGATGATACCTTCAGGGTCGCTGCTGAGCTCATCTGTAAATGTTATGCTGTCCCCTGAAGACAAGGGCGTGCACATTAATACAGCCACACGTTGGCGAGAAAATATTCAGCATAAGATAACAAAGTGTGCCCGTACTGTGTTGAGGTTGAGAACTAGCACCGTGACTCAGAAAGTGCATGGCCAGCTGTTGAATGGACCCAGTGAGGCCTTCGAGTCCAGGTACGGATGGAGGAACAATGAGAGGAGCCATCTGATCTTCATCTGGGGATTTTATTAAAGAACCGAGCGTAAGTTCCACCCTATCGACCTCGAGCCCCCATGGACGAGTCATCTCATTTATGTCCATCTGAGGAGAACAGGAGAACAAGTTAGCATAAACGTATCAAAGAATGTGTTTTTCCAAAGTATTTCATTTTAATGTAAATCATAAAACATTTGATTTTCCAAGAGTGGAATTAAATAAGTGACTAATTTAAATTTCACAATTTAATTCACCATGGCACGTGTCAGATTTTTGTCTGTACTACTTTTACCCTTGGACAGACATCCAGAAAGCTGGCAGTAAAAAGATCCAGTGTGGCCTCACCCCCAGATATTCTCCAAGTTTCACTCTTTCCGTTTGGATTTCTCTGATGGTCTTCTTGGACATGCTGTGGGTCAAAACGTTCTGTGCCGTCATCCTGGTGGAGGCATTCAGGTCTTGGACCGATACCACAGACATGACGGGATTCCAGATCCTGAACTGGATGTCAGCTCCCACCAGCAACACACCACCATCCCTAGTCGTCACCTGAAGGAACAAATTCATCATTTATATTTCAAGTAACTGGTGAGTTTTTTAGGACTTTTTAACAAGCTGGATGTTTTTCTGTCTTTTTCAAATTATACTTTAAAGAACTTCAATATTTAACATAAAAACAAAGAGGCTGAGATGCTTGGAAGACAAACTAATCATCCATCCATCCCACTAATTTGTTTTCATTCGCTTATCTAGATCATCTGGGTTGCAGCTCCAACAGAGAAGCTCGAACAACCTGGGAGCAGGGGAGAAACTCTTGCAGCTCCAGCTCTCCAGAGAACTTCTTCTAGACAAGCTCCTTCTCTGCAGTCCTCTTCCCCTACTCTACTGCACTCTCTTACTGCACTTCCTCCTATGCTTTTTACTCTCATTTCACAGTGTGTGATGGTCACCTGGCAAGGAGGGATGTTGAAAGCTCGAGTGCGTAGGTCCACTTTCTGCCACTGATCGATTAGAGGAAGCACGAGGACAACACCCGGCCCCTTTGGTGGGCACACTCGACCCAAACGGAACACCACAATCCTCTGGTAGTTCGGCACCATCTGTAGAATAGCTCAGAGGTGGTCATTTTTGTTTTCAGCAGCTAAGAAGGGGTGTTTTTGGAAGAACGAGAGAGAGAGAGAGAGAAGAGAGAGAGAGAGAGAGAGAGAGAGAGAGAGAGAGAGAGAGAGAGAGAGAGAGAGAGAGAGAGAGAGAGAGAGAGAGAGAGAGAGAGAGAGAGAGAGAGAGAGAGAGAGAGAGAGAGAGAGAGAGAGAGAGAGATGAGAGAGAGAGAGAGAGAGAGAGAGAGAGAGAGAGAGAGAGAGAGGAGATGAGAGAGAGGAGAGAGAGAGAGAGTGAGAGAGAGAGAGAGAGAGAGAGAGAGAGAGAAGAGAGAGAGAGAGAGAGAAGAGAGAGAGAGAGAGAGAGAGAGAGAGAGAGAGAGAGAGAGAGAATGGATTTCTTCTACCTTCAGCACAAACCTCCCAGTTATTGGAAACATAATAAAGGTGCAGACGTAAACAAGGAAGGATGACAACCAGGGTTGCAAATCCAAGACAGCCATCCCTCTGGGACGTATCTTCAAGAAAGAAAGACACACACACCACACACACACACACACATCACACACACACACCACACACACGCACAATTACATGTTTTTTTATGAATGTAAAATAATAAAAATGACCATTGAAAACGTAACA